CTTTATATTATATGGAAACTATGAAGTCTTATCCGTGACGTATTCAGGAGTTTTCCTGCGGAATCGCTCTATTTCCAGCTCACTTGGTCCATTTACTTAAAAGCATTCACAGGGTTATTTCTTCTGCTATCTTTGCTCTTCTTTCCTGATCTCTTTTTCGGAGTTTCTTGGCGTTGTTCTTACTTTGCAAAAGGAACAAAAAGGGGAGGTGCAAGTGGTGGAAGTGGTGCACATGCATGAAATAGAGGTGGTACGGTGTATTGTGGTTGGCTAGCTAAATATAGGGACCCGTAGAAATAAAAAGGAGCGGCAGGAACAGACAATCCTGAGTTGGAGCCGGAGAGGACTGCGGTCGAATTCGTAGTTGTGCAAGTCAGACATCGTGCTCATGCGATAACAAATACAGTACAGAGGTGCTTTATGATGACTTTATCCAAATGTTCAACACCTTCAATTGACATGCTGACGGTGTGCAAAGAAAGCGATACAAGGCGTTGAAAAAAGTGTGAAAGGTCACTCTGTTAAGTAGTTTGCCTGCGGGCTTCTTGTGAGAATGAATGCTCACACAATGCGATAAATTCTTTTCCACATAATTTGATTTCTCCAATGGTTGCTTCAGCTTCCGCAGCTTCCTGTGTTGTATTATTTATGTGCTTCATACTTTTTTGTTTTGCTTTATTTTATTTCTCAAGCTCTGAATGTAACGACGAGGTTTCCCACTCATACAAAACCACCGTCTCCGCCTTCTCCTGAGGCTCATCAGTGGTTTGGGGTAGAGGAAAAGGGAATGGGTAAAGGTAATGTTTGAATCAAGGGCAGAAATGAGTATGAAGTGTACTATTGGAGATGAATATTTCTGTTTTAGAATGCCATTGACTAAATAGCTGATTTTATTGAAATTATCCTAAATATAAAACTTGTAACTAAACTTATTTCCATACACTGCACCTGATTAGACTTGTGACTACGACTTCTTCTTTGTATCCAATTTTTGATAGAATTTCCATAATCTATTTCAACTTTGTTGTAAATGTTTCCATATTAGAAATGTATTAGCAATTCTCAATGCTTCTGTGTATATAACAGAGCCTTTAATGGTATTGGGAATACTATTATAGTATCGCAGTGAGGAAATCTGTTGACACTGAAGCTGAGATCATCAGTTTTATTATATACATAAGCCTAAATAATTACTATTCCTCCCACTCAAATAAATGTGTTCTTTCGAGTTCAAGTGTATTTTTATATAATAAAGAAAGTTGCTCTTCAGTACCTGATTCAGTTTGGTTATGTGCTGTTAATAAATCATCCACATTTGAATGGAAAAAGTTTTATTAAAGTTTTGATCTTTCGAATAATCATATTCCATTATTGAAAGTGTCAGATCCGCTAGGAGAGGACTGAAGTTGTGAAGCCATGTGTGTAGCGCCCATCGCATCGGCGCTGGCCGACTTGCTCTGGCTCCTTTTTGACCCAGTCATTTAAGGTAACTTAATATATAAATAATAGTCTGTATATATGCAAATGTCATCACGCCACACATAGACTTAAGACCCGCTATGTCATCAGTTATGGGCCTGATCACCCTATAATCGGATATGGAGATCCCAGTGACGTTTTTTTGCTTTTCACTTTTCAATTTTTGGAGGAGTTTTTCTCCGGAACCTAAGGAGGTGGCAGAGAGGCAATCTACCATTGTAGACTACTCTTTGCGTTCTTCGAGGCTGTAATGGTACACCTTATCAAAGATCAACAGTTNAACTGTTGATCTTTGATAAGGTGTACCATAACAGCCTCGCAGAACACAAAGAGTAGTCTACAATAGCGGATTGCTTCACTGCTGCTTCCTCAGGTTCCGAAGAAAAATTCCTACAAAAACTGAATTTCCTTCTTTTGCCGTAAATCGATGTCATATTCAATATGGAACCAGTAAAGAGAAGTGCTGAGTGCAAAGACCGCAGATGATTGCTCGCTCGGTTGGTCGTACTCTCTGTAATTCATATTATATTGATGTTATTAGGCTTTTATCATAAATATGCTACTGAAACATTGACTAGCTGTGGCTTTATGCCCCCTTTCAATCATTTTTTACTGATATTTCTGGAATTGATGAATTTTGCTGTGAGCACCCTTCTCTTGTCTTAAGATGTAAGTATAACCTGTGATAATTAAAGGGTTTCAACACTTTGCTTACTTTCTTATAGAAACTTCCTATAGCTGATGCAATTATACTCATAACAATTGAAATACATACGACGTCTGCAATGTGAATAGTTTGATTCCTTATTTGCAACAATTTTCCCGATTATAGTCGTATTAACTCTTTTTGCGTAATTGTAAGAAGTGCTCCCAGAAGTTCGAACTTATCTCGGCCTAAACACGATCATAAGCCGGAACACAAAAGTAAGCTGGTGTTTATCACCTAGTATAACGATACTCACTCACTCGTATGAGGTACTATCTCCATTGGTTACTGCTCCACTCACCCAGCTCAAGGGAGTGTCCTTTTCATTGTCATACCTTAATTTAATATATCCCTTGAGTTTTAATATTCCGATTAAATATAACTCACTTCACTACTTCATGCAGAAGCTGATTTACAACTTCCTTGATAGTTTTCCCTCAACATTCGGAACGAACAGTACCCTTATTTGTTTTGCCAGCACTAAGTGGTTGATGTGCTCCTGTTGTCTGTTATGGTTCCCTTCCTGATCAACATTGCTCACATCGAAACCTGGGATCTAATTTACTGTTGTTCTCTATTTCTGTGACAATCAATCCTAGATAGTTTACTAACAAGAAAGAAACATTCCACGGACATTGGCAATCACACACTACAAACGGAACCGAGACGAAAATAGTGGCTGACAATAAGATATTCTAGATTGCCAGATTTTATATACCAAGCAAATCTACAATTCTTCAGCCATGCTGCTCAGTTTACCCACTGTTTCTGTTATTTTGGTGGTTATTGGCTCACCATTTATGTTTTCTTCATTTTTTACTCCCTGTATTTCTCTATTCTCGCTTATATTTTATCCATCCTTTCAACTTTTGTTATATTTTAACTTATCAATTTACACATAACAATCCTTTTCCAAGAATACCCTCTCAAAAACTCCACAAGACGGACATACCTTTTAATAAAAATAGGAACTAGGGGATTATAAAATTCAAAGATGGCAAGAGGGCAATTTTTGACGCTTCCAGCGCTGGTCGCTCCTCATGGAATACGCAGGGAGAGCCACCTCCTGTGCAGCAGCCTCGCCGAACCTCAGGGAAGACTCCTCTCTGTATTTGGATTTTACCACTCGAATACTTAGGTTCAACGGTCAAAAAACAACAATGTCACAAATGCTTATAACTATTCCTATAAAAAAGAATTCATCAAGATAAGAGTTGAAGCCAATAACTGTTGCCTTTCGCTTTTTAGTTAAGGTAGTGGAGGATGTAAGTGTAATAACAAATAATGTAGAATGTAGTTTTTCAAATTGTAATGAATACATTATATCCAATGTAAAAACATATAAAGGAAATAACAAATTGCAATAGTAAAAGTGTTGAATACTGTGTTACTTATGATCAATGTGGTATGCAATATGTAGGAATGACTATAAGAAGAATCAAAGAAAGGATTACAGAACATAAAAATGATATCACGAACCATAGAATCAATTCTCCTCTATACAATCAATTCTACAAGGGTAACAGAGGGATAACGGTTAGCATATTGGATTCAGTGGAAAATAATGATAGAATTACTCTCTTTCAAAAAGAGCTGTTCTGGATTAAATTGCTTATGATCCCATATCCCTTTGGATTAGATGATAACATCAAAGGATATGGGAATATTACAAATATTCACACCCACTCAAGATTAATATAAACCCACCTTATTTTCCGTTCAAGGGTATCAAGCGTAGAAAGGAAATAAGAAGGAAAAGAACAAGCAAAAAGAAAAATAAAGTAACATATGAGGATGCAATGGAAAAATGTCTCATAGCTTCTCTTTCCAGAAACCATTACAATACTATAGGCTCATTAAAATATTAGAAAAGAGGAGAAGAAGTTAACAAGTTGATTATGTTCGCCTTCAGCGATAATTTCATCAAAACAGTTCCTAGTTAAGTTGGATTCTTCATAATATGTATATTCGCACATATGCATTTTTACGCCAAGGAAGTTCATACAGCTGAGCGCAACTTCCATAATATAGTTGTTAACTTTCAAAGTAGAATATTTAATGAACTTCCGCTCGGTAGAATCTTGAACTCTGGATATGTCAAAGGAATTATACATACTTCATAGCGATAAAATTCGGCGGTTGTACAAACCTATAAGAATAATTCATAGAAACGGTGAAACAGTAGATAGTGAAACTTATAATTATAATAGAGTGCTGAAAAACCAAACCAATGAAGAACTGAAAAATTATTAACACCAAATGTGCGCGTAAAAATGATGAGTCTAAACGGTAAATTGATAACAGCCACGGGCACATTGTTACAGGTGATTCGGATATGATTGAAGAAGAAAATATCAAACAACTACTGTGCTAAGGAGCTAAATGTAGATGGGATACAGGGATTACTAGGAGGGAAGTAGAAGAAGTGTATCTGGAGTTAGTCGATAACATTGTTGCATCTTACAAACACAAATATAAACTAAATATTTATAAAATGATATCGACTAATAACATTTCTCTTACTATACTCTACTTCATTTCTCTTTACTTACTTACGATAAGATTTGTTACAGAGATGAAAACATACCGCTAGCTTCCATTAGAGAATATTATAAAAGATGTTTTTCGCCCAATGGATAAAGCTAGTAATAGTGATGGTGTCATTTGTGGAAAAATTCTACCTACTCAACTTATGCATGCACTGGGAATAAGATATGACTATTCTAACGGCAGTTACATTTATGGTAGCACTAATAACACATACGAAATATCACGTCTATGGGACAAACACTGAATTATTTTAAATCATCAACTGTTTTGCCATAACAATAACATTAAATGTGATCAAGAAGCTGGTTTACCTTTCATATAGGCCCCTCCTGAATTACACAAAAATCCAGTTAAATTCAGATTTATTACAGGAGCTTACAATAGTATTCGGTTGATCCATAACTATTGCGGATTTTTCCAGCAAGTTTTACATGAAGGGAACGATAGAAATATTTTACAAAGACATGTTCAAATAATTGCTTCGAAAATATACATCACCTACGTCAGAAAATACTTCCCATTTGCAAGGCAATCGGATTTCAAAGGCGAAGAAGTTGCGATTCTTGGAGAAAATCCACGCCCTGACGTCGACCATCAAGTCATCCATTTCGTCAAAAGTTCTGTGCAATAGCCAATTTTTCAACGAGCAATTGACGTAATAAATCATAGGAGTTCGTGTTGGTGCATAGGGTGACCGTAGAAGCAGATTCCATTCTTTATTCGGCTTTGACTGACTGTTTCATCGTCGAGAAGTCCGTTGAGATCACTTTATGGCTGTGCCACCTCCCAACCTTTCTAGAAGTAATGGGGCATAATGTGGCGTATATGAAGAGGACTTTCTGGACATGTTTCTGCTGAGGGAAGTAAGAAGAAAATTTGTATCAAATCCCAAATTCAATATTCAAAATGTATAGAGAGAAAGAAGTCCGCAATAATTATGCATTATGCGAAATAATTATGCATTATGCGAAAAAATCCGCAACAATTATGCATCAACCTATTGGGATTAAACTAATAGCATTAGAGCTTAGGACTACACTAACTTATATTAGAGCACACTTCACCAAGTGTTGTCGTGTGGTACAGGACTGCCGTAAGACCATGAAACCATATACCTCTATCTTTAGTATAAACATTAGTGAAGAACTTAGTAACATTCATTGTGAAAATTGGAAAATTCATACTGCAGATTTCACTGATATGTCTACTAAACTAGTACATTTCCTTATTATTAAGAACATTACGAATATATTAAAAATCTGCTCTAAAAATGCAGGTAAAGGTCTGATCACTACCAATGGATGTCGGGTTTCCTATACAGATGGTAAATTTTATAAAGAAAATTCTGATATCACAGTATACAAGGCATCTTTTATCTGATTGCATATTTGTTGAGTTTGTGCTTTTAGAAACTGCGTTTTTGAACAGGTTCGAGGAGTTCCTTGAGAGAGTAATGCCAGCCCTCTTTTAGCTGACCTAACACTTTCTTATATGGAATTAATTTTGCTATTAAAAATATGTATGATAGTAGTGAGGTGTTCATCTCTATAAATATATGGGTGACTTATAGATATACGGATGACTTGTTGGTTATACATAATTCAGGTGATCAAGCTATAGAAAATTGTTTGCATCAAACCTATCAGGGGGCCATAAAGTCCAAAAAGACGCATTTATCAGAATACAGAAGCAACTACTTAGACTTGTCAGTTGGCATTCAAGATGATAGTATTATAGCTACGCACTTTAGTGAGACAGATGATTCCAATTTTGGAGTTATAAGGTTCTCACACCATCACACTAACATATCCCTTTCCAGTATCCCTCGGTCATATACACAGATTCAATTTGTATAGCTAACACTTGTACTAAGTTTGAAAGTTTCATTACTAAGCTCAATAAAATGAAAAGAGTCCTACTGAATAATGGGTACTCTGAAGGATTTATTATGGCTTGTATTATTGAAAGTATTTGCCATAAGCGGTTAGTGACGAGGCTAAGTAGGGCGTCCCCAGGTGGCGGATAGGGGAATTAATCGCCGACCAAAAGTCACCGGTGCTTGCACAGAGACGCAGGTGGATTCAGGGGATGGACTCCTTGATTCTGCTGTGCTGGGTCGATATACCCTCTGTCCCTCACTAGCGATCCACGCATACGTGTGTGGAAAGTCTGTCGGTGCAGTTGGTATCCTGCTCATCGACTCGGCCAAAAGCTTGCATTCGAGTGACGATCAAGTCACTGGGAAGTATCTGGGAGGCGATTCGGGGCCGCCTCCAAAAACAAAGCCCCTTGTCCACTTCGGGATAGCCTGGCAAGCCCCCGGAGTCAATAGCCCCCAGTCAGAGCCTGGCAAGCTGCACGTTGGGTATTTTTCCGCCAAAAACAGTAATAGAAATGGGCCTCATTCCCCTGAACCTGAGGGAGCCCCCAATACGGCAGCGTTGGGTAGGACCGCTCGGGAGAGGCTGCTAAAATCTCAGGGCCAAAACAGGCTGCCCAAAAGGAGAAGGACTAAGATGGCGATCTGTACTTTCAACGCACGGACGCTTGCATCGGAAGCGTGTATAGAAGATCTGATGATGCAAGCTAGGAAGATCAAGTACGACGTCATCTGACCGAGAGGAGAAGGCATCGCCCGCTGCATGCTGTATTTGAGACTGGAGAAGAACTGTTCCTTGGACCATGCGACAGTAGAGGCGTCGGCGGCGTAGGTGTCCTCGTCAATACGCACTTGGCCATGAACATCGATTCGTACGAAAGCTTAACAACCCGAATCGGACGTTTGCGATTGAGAAGATGCGGCTCAATCCCAGCTCTTACCATCTTCGTTGCTTACGCACCAACATCGAGCTACGAAGAAGAGCAAATGGAAGCGTTTTATAAGGATTTGGAGAGGCTCTACAGAGAAGACCACACTTTCTTCAAGGTCATCGTCGGTGAGTTTAACGCNCATCGTGCTTATAACACCGAACATCGAGCAGGCGGAACGAATGCTGGCCGAGTTTGATAGTGCTTGTGGAAAGATCGGCTTGAGACTGAGCCTAACGAAGACGATGTTCATGAGAAACGGATTGGTACCTGATGCTCCTTTCACGTTAAACGGAACGAATATCTCCGAATGCTCTAGCTATGTGTATCTAGGTCGGGAAGTCAACATGATGAACGACCTAGCTCCAGAGCTGTGCAGAAGGAAACGCGCCGCGTGGGGAGCATTTAAGAATATCGAGGGAGTAGTGAAGAAGACAAAGAACATCCGGCTCCGCGCTCACTTTTTCGACACTGCTGTCCTTCCTGCTGTGACGTACGCCTCGGAGACCTGGACTCTACGAAAGCAGGATGAGCATGCTGTCAGCGTTATTCAACGCGCTTTGGAAAGGACAATGCTCGGAATTTCCCTATTCACGCAAGTGCAGAAGGGAATCCGGAGTTCCGAGCTCCGTCACCGAACGAAGATCAGGGATGCCGTTGTTTACGCCAAGAAATCGAAGATCAGGTGGGCCGGACACGTTATGCGATATAGTGATGACCGTTGGACCAGGGCGGTTACTGACTGGATCCCTCGGGACATCAAGAACTCCAGGAAGGCCGCCGACGAGATGGTCAGACTTCTTCACGAAAGCTCTGAACGAAAGGAATGTTGAGCCTCGTGTCTCTGAAGCGAGAACGGTTCACTGGACCACTCTGACAGGGACGAATGGAGACGTTACTGGCGCCCGCTCGAGGAATTCGATGATCAACGGGACGACAGGTGATACAGGTGATTTGCCATAACAAATATATAAGCTATAAATACAATATTAGTGATAAACTCGTAAAAATTAGGAAATTGGTTGTAAGTATTCTTGCATAGTAATATATTTCCCCTTACTATTTGGATTGATTATGATTATTACACTTCGTTTTTCATTGATATTACCAGATTACGGGCATATTGTATTGAATTTCAGTTTCTCCATCCCACGCTATTATCCTTACTATGCTATGGCCTTGTTTACTTTTTTCGGTCAGTTATTCTACTAATATCATCATAGTATGCTTGTTCGTTTAAGTATTTCTCTCCCTTGGCTTGTGTTTTTTTCAACTTGGCCCTCTAACATTGATTAACGTTTGACTATGTAACAAATGTAAGTTATTTTCAGCGTAGTTAGCTTTTGTAGTTCTCCTACTTTTTACTAATATTTACTTTTTTGTTCATTCGGCTACATATGACATTTTGCTTTCTATTTATTATTTTTTACTGATTTTTGACGCTACATACGTCGTTTTTTGCCAACCCTCATCCACTGATGGTCTTCGGGGTTGGCAAAAAGTGAATTAGTTCGTATGAGTTAAGTTTTGATACATAATTTTTGTTTCTAAACCTGTAATTTCTCATTCTAACTGCGTCATCGATTCTCCGCACGCTGCTGTCGCAGACCATTCGCTTCGCTGTTCTCACAGCTCTAGCGTTCTTCATACAGCTCAATCGGTATGCGATCACAATTTAAGGTATGATTCTACTGTTAGTTATTTTGTTCCTGCATTCCTTACCTGCTGCTGCATTCTGCTACATTCCTTCGCGCGCAGAGCCCCTCTCGCCACGACGTGACGATTTCGATCCTACTAACCACACCCAAGGTTTTATGTTCCAGTCGTGTGCAAATGCTGACGATTCGGTTGGAGTACGCACAAATTGCCTTCCGCTGTCGTCATGAATAGGGGCAAAACTGATTCACTCTCTTCATTTGTGGGATGTAGAAATCAGAATGCCAAAATGAGTGATGCAAAGGTAATCTAACGAAGCCCTCACCGTATTCGTAACGACAAGAGGTAAGTCATCTAAGTTCTTGTCAGCACGCCAGCACGCTCTTCGATATTGGCTGACGTCTAGCATCAGCTCATTAATCATCACCATGAACCCCTTCCTATGCACCTTTCGAACATACGCCTACCGTTAGACGAGCAGCAAACCTTTTTGAGAGAATGTTGCTTTTGCTGACGATCTCATTATGTAACACATTCCTTATTGCCATGTATACTCAATGGTAGTGACAATCCCTTACTCTTACATACGCTTGCGAGAACTCCGGATTTACTCGTCATCGGGTATTGCTCTAGCACATAACTTACCGGCACGACGGTTCATTACTGTCGTGCCGGTAAGTTCGATTTTTTTCACGTGAGCCTGACAAATTCGAAGGAAATCCAGACAAGTCAGTACAGAATCCGGCGCAGGCAATCAACTTGCAAGACGACTCTTGATCACTGGACTCGCAGGTAGCACAGAAAGCCATCACTCCAAAGCAGATGATGAATTCAGTGATCGCATTTCGAACAAGTTCTTGACCTCTTCTGAATTCGTTGACGACTCTCCTTATGTACTATTTTATTGGGGAGGGCGTCATCTGGAAGAGCTAGATAACAAGCAAGAAGTGTTTTGTAGGTTGGTCAACCAGCATCAAATTTACACCAGAGAGACACCTTGACCTGGAAGTAGTACATCAACTGGAGACAATCCAGTCGCCGACTTCGACGAAGAAGTGGACGGATACGCATTCGACAACTAATCATGTCTACTATATTCAGCGTGAAACGGTCCGTAAGGGATCTCCTAACCTTGGGCTCACTCTTTAATCAGGAAAGCATCACAAGTCGAGGGGCGTGCGAAATAAGACTCGTACTGCAGAGGGTCTTTCCAAATGGTGATCTCGAATAGCCTTCCCAATTCGCCGATCGATTTTCCGCACGGTGATTCAAGGTAGGCTCTGACATAACCGAACACAAAAGATAGGGGGTTGGTGTATCGTTTGCATGGTGGAATGGTGCAGTGAGCAAAGTGACGCATTATGTAAGCGCAAATCGCAGGACTTTTTTCCTCTCGGCCAGAACCTCTTTTCATGTTCATTTCATCGCGTTCCTGTCAGTGCCTGAGGTGGTTTGTGTCCCAGCTAAACCATAAAATATTGTTTTCTACACTATATTCGGAGTAAGATTACTTTTATCCCTCCTTGAACGTACATATGTGATATATAGCAAAAAACGTTTGAAGCAGTGAAGCTTTCCACAATAGGAATAATGAATAAGAAGCAATTTGACACATACCTTTGCTCTACCCAGCAAACCAGAAGGAAAACAGAATTGTGTAGTCGTCACAAAATTGCCAAAGTGAGTTTCAGAATAGCAGATGGCTTGAGAGTAGAAACGGTCGTGCTTCCACAGCCTCCAACAATCCTTTCTTTCATCGTTGTGCCTTGCCTTTCCGCGGGCAGCCATCTAGCTGAAAAGTTTTTCGTGGTGATCCAAGTCTGTTACAAAATTATTCTTCATTCTGTTACGTTTCTCAACACCACTCCGATTACGAGCCACTAGGGAGTTCCCAATCAGGGTTTTCCGTGAAAGTCGGGGGTCCGGGAGAGTAAATCGCATATGATGAACAAGTGGATGATGCTGGAGTGGGTGCAATAGTGCGTAGTAGCTCCGGGAGCACCTAAACTAAGCTACTGGTAATGGGTTGTGGGCTTTTCAAAGATTCGAAGCTATTCAGCCCACCTACACAAGAGCGCGTTAAGGTAATGAAGAACCTGCGCATACCACGAGGCTAATGCAGAAGTTGGATGCTAATTTCTTCTTGCCATTCAATAATACGATCAAACGCATCACGTCATACGTCATCACGCCTATGAATTCAACTTATAGGTATACACACGTGTTTCGATCTGTCTCGTCGTTCGATCGTTTATCTCTCTCACACATGGTGATTTCCCCCGGTGATTTTGTTACGCCTGCACAATTCTGTTATCTTTTTAGTATGGTGAGTGAAGCGCGGGGTAATACAGGTTTTTTCATTCATTGTTCCCGGACAATAATTTGCGTGCTTTTTACATTGTGTTATACCATCACATAAGTTATTGAATGGATAAAAGTTATCCTGCTCCGAATATAATGTATTAACGAGCATATTGGAGGGTTCATCTATGGTCCAGTTGAAAAAAGGATCACTTTGAGCATGAAAAGGACGTAGGACGCAATAAAATAAACATGAAAAAGATTTCTAGGCCTTATGGAAAAAGTCCTGTGAGATGCGAAAATTCCGTCTCTCGGAAACCCGAACAATGATCTCTCACATACGAAAAGACATCCCTACCGCTGCACCAATCTACCACTGGAAAAGTTTTTGCGATCGATTATTCTAGACACTTCATAGAATCACCTCCAATATCATTCAGAGAAACTCACTGAAGCCAATGTTACTGGTAATGGGTTGTGAACATCTTCAAAGATTCGAAGATTTCAATAGGTAATAGTGCTAGGTGTGACAACGGCTCCTTGGCAGAACAAGTGAGAAAGAAATGTGCTCAACAACCTCTTCCCAGCCACAATTTTCAAACAACAGGAACCACTCAATGAGTCAGATGCCAATTTCTGGGTTTTTGCCGACGAAGATTTCAAGGTGCGCAGCAGGTTCCGGGAGCGACACATTAAATCTAACATTTCACGGGAGCAAGCACGTGGTATTATGAAGCTTCGAGACTTAATAAAGTCTTGAGCTATGAGGTTATCGGTGACAAAGGAGGAGAGTCTGTAGTGATTTCTAAACAGCTTGACTGTGAAATAACAGAAAACCATCTAGGAGGCATTTCTCACTATCGCCCAGCTTCTCTCAAGGAGTCCAAAACAGGCGGTACTGACTGACTGACCGGATGTGGGTGTCGGTAGCACGGTCTGCAGGATTAAGTTCAACCTTAATAGCACGCCTAAAGCATGAGTGCTCAGTCCTGTATCTGCTCATAAAGACACGTAAGTTTTTGGACGCAGACGGCTTAGTTTAGATCAATCCCACTTCCGTGAAAGTCCGTCTCACAAGCTGCGTGGGTGGTCCTACTGACCGAATCGCATTTTTTCCTAATATCTAGTGCAGCTTATCAACTTCATTCCTTCCCATCTCACTAACACCCAAACGTGTTTGGATCGCGTTGGCGCACTACCAAGCAGTGGTTCGTGCGTTATGGAGTCCTTTGACGTAGAAGC